CTGTGACACAGGTAGCATGAAGGACAGAAACCATCCCGGTCGACCTTCGGTGTTAAGTAATGATAGTCTGGACGATCCGTAAGAATATGTTATACTCTCTGAGAATATCACCATGAGAAACTCTTCAGAGTGGATTATCTTACATAAGTATACATAAGGCTAAGTGGTTGTGGTGATGTTGTGATCACACTAAGTTCCCCAAAGAAATTTCACAATAATAATTGAATGATAGGTTTTAAGTTCACTCAGATCTACTTATTATATGTGGTTGTTTACAATTAAACAAATCAAATTAAAACTTTAAATAATCTAACATAAAAGTAAGTAAACAAGTTTCTGCCACAATATGTACGTCAAATTAGACCGAAGTCCAATGTTTTGGAGCCCACCACCACCAAAACCCAATGACAGACTGAAATGGTCTCCAAAATGTTGGACTTTTACTCTGAATTGACACAGCTGATGACAATTTTATCTTTACCTTATGCATAGCATAATAATTCTGGTATGTTCACTCTGTTACTGCCTGTGGATTTTCAACTTGTGGATGCTAAACTTTGATTCTGTCTTATAAATAGCATAAAACATTAAAGGTACATAAGTAAATTACCTCTGACATCAAATTTGATCAAAATAGCTCCAATATTTCTCAGGTTATAGATGGCACAGCATAAAAATAACATTCATTACCTAGAAAACCGTAATACTTAATTAGAAATGTGCATCAAGCACAAAATGTGTACAATTTTTCTCTGCAACATTTGTTTGAAACACTTTTTTTGTTCCAATAAATATTTAGCAAGGTACACTCAATATGCATTTAGAAACACCATGGCATAGAGCGTCCTCAGGTTGCAGATGGGAGAAATTCATCCAGTAATGGAGGTTAGCTGTGAATATATTTAATAAGCAGTCGCGGATGAGGGGTGGTCCCCCAGCTTAGGGGTTGGGTGTGTGGCTAACAACCTATCAAAATAGAAACCTGTATTGTTAAGAAAAAACATAACTACAAAGCCTCTGAACCGGACGGACTCTTTGGCATGACCATGGTAATTGAAAAAGGACTTCAGATTTGGACATGGAATATTATGAGTCTCTAGAGGCAGGGGCACTGAAAGAGGTGCAATGGGAGGGGGAGGGTTTGATCCCAGTGGAAATTCATGAGGAAATTAGGAGGAGACTCAATTCCGGAAATGCTTGCTACTTCTCAGTCCAAAATATTTTGTCTTCCTGTCTGATTTCTAAGAACCTAAAGATTAAAATAATGATAATAAAACAATAATTTTGCCTGTTGTTTTGTATGTGTGTGAAACATGACCTCTCACTCTGAGGGAGGTGTTTGAGAACAGGGTGTCGAAGAGGATATTTGGGCCTAGGAGAGAAGACGATGGGGTATGGAGAAAACTGCATAATGACGAACTTAAAAATTTATATTCCTCCCCCTGTATTGTCAGGGTGATCAAGTCAAGAAGAATGAGATGGGTAGGGCATGTGGCGCACATGGATGGGGCAAGAAGTGCGCACCGGGTATTGGTCAGGATGTCTGAAGGGAAGAGACCGCTGGGGAGACCTAGACGTAGATGGGAGGATAATATCAAACAGGATCTATGGGAGATAGGAGTTGAAGGAGACTGGATTTTGTTGGCCCAGGACATGGTCAGGTGGAGGGCTTTGGTGAGTTCAGTGATGAACCTTCAGGTTCTGTAAGCTATCTAGTTAGCGACAATCTGTTCAGTGGTTATGAAGTTTTCACATGTGGACAGACAAACAACATAAATACTTACTTTACTTTGATACTTTTTCGACCTGTTCTTCAAGTGTCTGAGCACTGCGGGTCCCAACTTTTTCGTTGGTTTTGATCTATGGAAATTTTGGTAGGACTCCTTGGACGAGGGATCGGACAGTCGCAAGGCCTCTACCTGTACACAGGACAGCACAACACAGAAAAACGCGGACAAACATCCATGGCTTGAGTGGGATTCGAACCCACGGTCCCAGTGACCAAGAGGCATAAGGCCACGCCTCAGACAGCGCGGCCACTAAACAACATACATGAAAAAGCTAAATGGCTTATTTTTGCAACTTCACTACCAATGTACCTAAAAACAAATAAAACCAAATGCCATTCTTCATTTGTCCTTTTACTAAGACCAGCACTGGCTAAGACCACAATGTTATTACACAGCATTTCAAATAACTTGATAAGAACGGTCAAAATGATTCAATACACTCTCGTACTAAAGAATTTCCTATCCTCCAAGAATAATCATGAACATACCTAAAGACAATAAATAAATACCTGACTGAGATAAACATTATGTTTGTCAATTAATCAATTCCTTCTACATAACTGTTCCAAAACAGCAATAAATCCTACCACATTTCCACAATACTTCAAACCAGTTTTAATCATCATCCTCACTGTAGCTCCATACATTACTGAATCATGTCAGTCTGTCTGTCTGATCTAATTCATTAAGAAAATCGAGAACAAAAATCCTGATTGTGACGGAATATTTTGTTTCATAATTATAGGAGAAATGTGGAGCCAATCGAGTTTCATACACATCATATTTTAACGACCACATTTTTATAATATGGTACAAATTTCTTTTGGGATTGTTTCGGTAAGACTGAAGACGACATTTGCCTAGGTAACCATGATTACCTGGAGGGCAACTACACTACTGAAAACCGTTTCTACACCGCAGGTGACGAGGTTATGTTCACGCCTGCATGAATCTCAGATCAGCCTCGTTCTATTCACTGTTGCGTTGAATTATTTTTTAGTAATTATCTTTCTCGATAAAGTCCATGGTCACGACTTACATTAATCGACCAACTTTCGTTTCGATATAATTTTCCTCGTTTAAGCCTCTGAATGTTGCCTTCTGCTGTGAAAGTCTCATCTGTGTGGAGTCCGTCAGTAGATACCTGTCACATGTCTGGACTTAGGGAGGAACCCGGCTTACACTCTACGAATAAATAATGCACGGCACAAATAGGACAGAAAATTGAATCGTGTGTTCGATTTACTTTCGAGACCACGAGTTCACGGTAATGGATGTCAGATATTATCTTGTGATCGTGTGAAGACCAAATTGAAGACAGACAGAACGGAAAAGTTTCCTATTTTACGAGGCGCGTCCTCAAAGTAAGTTTTCCTGGTTCCGTTTACAGAAACAAAACACAATTTCATGGGAATATTTATTGCAACAGATACAGCAAGTGTCCAGCTATTTTTCAACATATTCGCCACCGGAATTGAGACATTTGTCATACCGTGGGACCAACTTTTGAATACCTGTGTCGTAGACGTCTGCCGCCTGGGATTGGAACCACTGTGTGACAACCATCTCCGCCTCTCTTTCATTCTCAAAACGCTGACGCTGACGCTGACCGGACAGGAATTTCTTGAGGTGTAGGAAAAGATGGAAATCACTGGGAGCGAGGTCCGGGCTGTAGGGTGAATGATTAAACACCTCCCAGCTGAACTCCTGCAGGAGACTTGCTGTCCGTCGAGTCGTGTGCGGCCTAGCGTTATCACTGACCGCACTTCACGGTCGGCGGGAGCTGGAATAAGAACTTCCATCTTCAACAGCTGCAACGATGCTACTGTGAGAACGCGGGAAGTGCCTTTAGTGCATGCGCCATGCTACGTCATTGCTCTATCACGTACGCACAGTCGCTTCGCGCAATATAAGGTTTGCTAGCTGTGGGACGAGTGGGAAACTTACTTTGAGGACGCGCCTCGTATAACACTAGTTAAGATTACTGGGTCATATTTTCCAAGAGATTAGCCACTTCTGATGTCAAAAGACAAGCTACATCTAGTGGTGCACATCATCTGCACTGGGATTAGCACCATGTTGCAGAAGCAACTGCACAATATGCTCATGACCATTAGCAGCTGCTACATGTAGGGGAGTGCATCCGGCCAAATCCTGCACGTGCAAGTTTGCATTCCGATCTAACAACAATTGTGAGACTTGTAACCGACCAGACTGAGCAGCAAGCCACAGTGGAGTCTGCTGGTACTTGTTATGACACTCAATATCAATCTGTCCCTTATCCAGTAAGTAGGCCACAAATTCTGTTTGACCAGAATCAGCAGCAAAGTGCAATACATTACTCCCAGACCAGTCACAAGCCCTGACATCTGCGTCACGCTCTAACAGAAGTTTAGCTACATCCCAACGTTTGTTCTTAGTTGCTATGAGTAACGCAGTATAACCACGCATGTCACACATATTAACATCAGCGTTTTTCTTTGTTAACACATCAACAACTCGAAAATTACCTTGCTTGGCCGCCCACATCAGTGCACTTCTCTCATATCGACTGTCACGTGTTTCAGTGTTGGCATTACGGTCAAGGAGGAACTGTACCAACTCCACCTGATCATGTTGTGCAGCTTCATGTAACATGGTAGCTGCACAGTCCGAGTCTTCATATAGAACATTAATGGCATGTCCGACATCTATGCCATGCTTCAACATGAATGATACAAGGTGCACAAGGCCGTGTCTGGCTGCAAATATCAATACATTCTGTATATATTTCTCATCATCATTATTAATGCTCTCTGCAGTAAGAACTAGGTCTTCCGTGTCAGCTATTTGTTTCAATAACAGGTCAACAACCAACCACTCCCTGATCCTCTCTGCTATACGGAGTGGCGGCCAGCACAACACCTTATCCTTGATACTGGGATCAGCTCCATGTCTCAGCAGAGCTGTTATGATCTGGATCTGGTCCGCAACTCTGCGATTATCATCATCAATGAGACTCATCACAGCAAGATGTAAGGCTGTCCGTCCACCGTCATCCTGCGAGTTCACGTCCAAATTCTCTTCTGACAATAAAGTATCCACCAAAACCTTTTCCTCACTCAGAACAGCAAGATGCAAGGGAAACTTCTGAGCCAGAATCTGGTTGAAGAAATTCCAGACAACTTGGAAATTTGGATCAAATATTTTTATATTCACGTAACTTTGCACAATTTTAAAATTCTCAGCAAACCAAAGAGCACAAAAATATTCACCAAAAGTCCTATGTATGAACATGGGTTTCCCTTCAAAAATTTGTTTGATAATTCCAGTTTGCTCATTGCCCTTTTGTACTGAATCTATAAATGACTTAAAACTGTTTGTCATGATTTCTGATTGAGGAAACATCTCTATGTCAGAAAGAGGCAAGAGCATAAAGAGAGCAGAGATCATATGATTCTCTTTCATCTCTTGTTTATGCTTGTTGTAAAAGTCACCCACTACAGGTTTTGTCACATCCATATCGTTCTTGTCAAAGAAAATCTTAAGTTTCCGCTCCAAAAATTTACTGTACAGCTGGTACAAGTTAAACTTTTGTGGGAGACCACTAGAAGTTCTCAAGTTCTTCTCAAATGTCTCAGCCAGCAACATGGACTGCAAGGGAATTCCCATGAAGTGCCTGTCTCTGTCACTGAAGTTCTTTGTAGTCAACTGAAGCAGCTTCTTTATGAAGTTATTCAAAATATGTTCCTCAACATCAGGCATACTCCTTTTCCAGAATTTTTCCAGAAAATTTCGTTGGTCAGACATCAAAAATGGCTGCAATGTGACAGACCGTGTGGACAGTTCACGTTCTAGTTTCTCCTTCATCACTGGCCTTGTGGTAACCCAGAGTTTCTGCAGTCTGTTTGCCTGAAGAAACTTCAACATCAGAGCAACTTTGTTTGCATGGGTAGGACTTACCTCATCATATCCATCGAACAACACACACACATTCTTCAGTGTTGTCAACTTCCATTTAAATAAAGGTCTCCATTTTTCTATGATTTTCGAAGCTTGGAGTAGGAATTCTATCACATCACATGGCTGTAAAGTCTCTTTCAATTTGACCAGCTGTTGGGTGAAGTCAGTAAGGTTCACCCTGATCACCCACGTGGCAGGATCAGCTTCTTTAGTGCCTAGTGCTAAATGGGTGAGGAGCGTCGACTTGCCCATCCCTGGCTCAGCTGACACTAGTGTCACACTATAAGGAACATCCATTACTGATTCAACATTCTCAAATTTACTTAAATATTTTGATACTAAGCTCATGTTGCCCCAGGATTGTCTACATATGAATACATTCCCGTCTCTATGGAGCCAATGAACAGTCTCACATGACTCTGTGAGCTTCAGAAATTCATCTTCTGTACTGATAACTTCTATTTTACATTTATCATTCCCTAAAGCACGCTGGTCTGACATCTCTGTATCAGTCGACATCAGCTGCTGCAGCTCAGGGTAAGACAAGCCACTCACAGCCAACGTCACAGATGAGTCTGTCGCTCTGTGAAACAGAATTTGATCCTTAACAACCTGGACTGTGTGTTGTAAAGTTCGAGGTATGTAGTACTCTAAATCACCGGTCAGAACATCTCCCAATACCAGCTTGTGTGTCGAAAGCTGTACGATGATATCAGCAGGCACGAACTCATGGTTGCCGTCAGTTACTGCTCCAAGAGATACATCATAACCCTGGAAACGCACCAAAGCATCTAATATTTGAGCCTGTGATTCCTCATCCAGCTGCCTTATTGCTACGTGATCACGAAATGTTGTAAACCTTGGCTGCGGCTTATTCCAGGCAACAGTTCCAGCTACAAAAACCAGCCTCTTGCTCGGATTCTTGAGGAGAATACCAACCAGTGTGTCCATATCCACAGCGCCAGTCTCCACTACAACAAGAATGTCACAGAATCTGCTCCATATAGCGACAACTTCTTCCCAACGGGATTGCAGGGTTGTGCCATCTACAAAGAGGTGAGACTCATTTGATAAGCTGTGGTGAACCTTGAGACAGCTGAGTATGACACATTCACTGCCATCTTCAGGGATTACATGCAGCAACTGGTTGAATATTCGGTAAGTTCGAATTAAAGCGTGTTCATCCTTTTTAAATTTTACAGAAAGAGCTTCAGTTTCATTAAGCATCTTTTCTGAAATGTTGTCAATACGATCCTTAAAAATTTTTTTCCAGAAAGGATTTTCATTTGTGAGGAAACATTTTCTTTCCTGCCACCATTTCTTTACCTGTTCCAGAAAATCATTATATACTACACTTGTACCATACAAACATTTCAGTTCCTGATTTATCAGGTCATCAAGTTCTTGCTGAGCTGCCTGGCCTGTGAAGAACAGCAGCCGAGACAAGAACTCCTTGAAATCTGACAACTGTGATGAATCTGTGATGCACCTCATCAGAGAAATGTCTTCATTGAAAGATATACATCTTCCCCCTGTCTTTAGAATATTGTGCCAGTCAGTCTCGTCAACATCATTTCCTAAACGTTCGGAGATTACAGCATTTGTATACACTATAAAGGAAAAGTCATTAAACGTACCACAGTACTGAAGGTCCTTACTATATTCCAACTTCTTTTTCATTTCGCAATATGACTTGAAATACCGCACCAAGCTGAAATTTCCCTTCTCCGAAATAAGCTGTTGTTGTTTTATTTTCTTCTCAGTATTTGACTTATGTTTCAGCTGTATGAATAGCGTCTGATGTCCAAATTTGAAAACAACATCATCAAAATCACAGGCATCATGCATGTTACAGGCAAGACTAAAGTTCTCTGACCTATTAAGTCCCCTAATAAATAACAGGGTTGCAAACTTTATTTCATATAATTCACCCTGCATGTCAGCACAGCCTGTTCTCTTTGTGTACTGCAACACCAAGGACTCTGACTCAACCTGCAACAAGATCACAAGACTGAATAAGTAAATAAAATGGAGACACAAATACTGTATGTGGCCCAATGAAACGAAGCATATGAAGCTTTCATGGCAAATGAACGCATATACATGCATACTCATTAGACCAGTGGTCCCCAACCTTTTTGAGCCTACGGGCACATTTGAGAGTTTATGAGATCGTGGTGGGCACCAACCAATTAACAAAGCCAAATTTTCTTTTCTCTGGACAAATAAGATATGGACACCAAATAATACACAAAACAACACGACGTTTAATGATACAAGAAACCATGCAATCAAAATACGTAATTTTATAACTACAATTATTATTACTCAAGGGGGAAGTTAGTGAGATGTTTGGCACTGCATTTCATCGGCCAGGTTTTCAAATTTGGGAGTGTAGGATGATGTTGCTGCTCGCAAACAATCGTCAAGATGGACATCAGTAAGTCGAGATCTGTGCTTTGATTTTATAATGTTCATGGTTGAAAACAGTGATTTGCACAGGTAAGTGGAACCTATATAAGATTTTATCTTGTACGCTGCATTTTTTAAGGAAGGAAACTTTTCTCGATCAACCAAATTCAAAAAGATTTCATGTGTCGCATAGGATTTCAGAACGTCATTTTGAAGGTCCAAAATCTCCATTTCCAGTACTTCTGTCCTTGCTTGAATGAATCTTCCAATAGATACAGCAGTTTCTGTAACCTCAATTTGGCAAGTAAAAGGATTTACAAAAAAAGCTACCACTGGTTCAATGGCAGTGAACTGTTGAAATCTCTTTTTGAACTCCTCCAGAAGTATCTGAAGGTGGTCAACAAATGGTGACAAGCTAAAATTACTATCCCCTACCATTTTCTTCATACTTGGGAAGTGTACGAGAGACTTCATCTTCATATGTGACATCCACAAGACTAGTTTTGCTTTGATTGATTTTACAGAGCCTATCATTTGAGCCACGCTTTTCTTTTCCCCAAAGCTCCAGATTTAAACTGTACGCTTTGTCAGTGACGTCAGTAAGGAAACCCAAGTCCAATAACCAGCAAGGGTCACTTAGTTCGTTGAAGTCCGCGTTCTTGGACTTTAGAAAATCTTTTATCTCCTCAATCAAGCTTAAGAACCGTGCAAGAACTTTACCTTTGCTCAGCCATCGCACTTCTGTGTATAGGATAAGATCAGAATGTTTGCCTTCAAACTCTCCCAGCAAGGCCTTAAAAAGTCGGTGTTGCAAGGGTGCCGCGCGAATAGAGTTAATTATCTTTTTAACAACATTCATGACGTGTCCAAACGGAAGTAAGTCCGGAAAGGATTCATCTTTCTTGCAGAGGGCAATGAATCCATTGACGCTGCCCAACATTCCTGGTACAACATCAGTAGCGATCGCTGACAGCTTGTGCAGGGGCAAAGTAATTTCCATTGCATAGGTTTTAAATGTGTTATAAATATTCTCACCTTTTGTTTGCCTTTTTATAGGCAATACTTTCAGCAGCTCTTCTTTTACACTGAAGTCGCTAAATACCATTCTCACCATGATTGCCAACTGTGCAGTGTCTGATACATCTGTCGACTCATCGAATTGCAGTGAGAACCAGTCACACAGTTCCAAGCCACTCTTTAGTTGAGTTTGCATGTCGCCTGAAATTACTTGTATCCACCTCGTAACTGTGTTGTCAGAGAATTGCAAGTCTTGTATTGCCAACATAATCTCACGCTTGTTGGTAAACCCTTCAAAAAAAAGGCAACCAGCACCAATCAGGAATGCTTCCTTCAACAACTCACCATCTTGAAATGGTTTTTTCTTCTTTGCAAGCAAGTGAGCAATTTTAAGGGAAACAATAGTGGCACATCTACATTTTACCACGGGTCTAGTGAAAATCGACTGCTGGCCTGAGAGTTTTGATTTCAGTTCCTTTATTTTCTTTTTTCTTAACTCAGATTTAAGTTTGTCTCTTATTTTGTCCACTTACCCTGGGGCAAAAAGTAATACAATTGGTGCAGAGAATAACGCCAAGTATAATAAACCACAAAGTGCGAGAAAACAGCAAGATCACGTTATAGTAGTATAGCTCACATTCCACGCACTGTCACACTGTGTTCTCGCAAGCTTACTAGTAACGGCTGGTATTCCCTCGCTAGCTGCGTAGGTGCACTTAACGTAATACTAGCATCCGGCCGGGAGGTAAATTACTGCTTACAAACAAACTTTGATCACATTCCACGCACTGTCACACTGTGTTCTCGCAAGCTTACTAGTAACGGCTGGTATTCCCTCGCTAGCTGCGTAGGTGCACTTAACGTAATACTAGCATCCGGCCGGGAGGTAAATTACTGCTTACAAACAAACTTTGATCTGCCTTTGCATACGCATAGCGTTGACGTACCTTGCGAGTTTTTCATCTTGATGCACGTTTCCTACACATATTACGGCCTTCATTATTCAGTATAACCTCTTTCCGTAACAACGTGGGCACCACTGCATTAGACTTTGGTTCAATGGTACAGCGCATCTACCCACTGTGCTCTTTTTAAGCTGTCCCGTCACACGCCACAGAGGCAACTGGGGGAAGAGGCAGCACAGCTTCTTTTTGTTCTTTACCTCAGCAGTAGATGCAGTGAATGGTCAGTGTTCTGCCCTAGCTGTAGAGGTTTGAAATGAAGTCCTTTGTTCCTGCTGGGGACTGAACCTGGTTAACCAGTTTGTAGTCAGCCAATGACTGAGCTACCTTCACTTTCAATGTATATCTTTCTACATTCTTATGCAGGACAGGTACCTTGCCTTTTATGGAACCTGAAGTTTGTTATCATATTCACGATAGCCCATCACTGAATTCTATTATAGAATGTGTCAAAGTATGAGGCACTTCATAACAGTTTGTAATGTGCTAGATTTTTAGGGCAATGGGTTCTTAGCTCCAAACCCAATCCTCAAGCTGGAGGACCACTTTATGTTGCTTGCATGTGACTGTTCTGCATATTTGCGCAGCTACCATACATACCTGGAGGCTGTCTCTTCCATCCACAGCCAGAAACACTTCCTTAAATCCTGATATTTTGTTCTGTTGTATATTTACCTGTGTCAGTAATGTCTAATGTATAACAAAAATTTAAAAAAAATTCTTTACATACCTCAAAAATTGATATACTGCAATGAATGTATCATATATTAGTATTATTTGTGCTTGTTTCTTCACAGGTTTCCTTGGTACTTTTCCTCTTGAACCAATGGCAAATTCCGCCACACAGGCTTACGAGTTTCTGATTTTAGCACTTTCCTAATAATGTGTGATGTTACTAGTATGTCTGTTTTTTTTTTTTGTAGAGAATCGAATGAATGCTTTCCCGGTATTGTTTCCGGGTATTCTTTTAGTCCTTTAGTCACAATTCTTGTGGCTCCTTTGATTATGAGTAGGACAAAACACTTAATGTTCCACATTCACAGAATTTCAATACTTAAATATTTGTATTTTAATCTCTTTTCAGACTCCTCCCATATTAGATTCTTAACCAATGGTAGTACTACATAAACCTATGAGTAAGCGAATTTTATGTTTCTTATTTTTAATTGCTATGTCAGTACTATTTGCCACAGTACTGTTGTATCTTCATGGTCACATACTGGCTTAGATGTGTACCAGTTTTCTGTTGTTTCAATGCGTGTTTTGCATAGTGAGTAATGTAAATGTGTATGGACAATTATGTCTTGTTATGTTCTTTGCCAGAATGGGACAACCTGATGTTAAATGGTCAATAGTTTCTTCATATTCTTTAAATAATCGACACCTGCTTTCAATTTCTTCTTTCAAAAGAAGTTTGTGCTGAGTGCCTGATCCTGTGCTGCCACTACAGTCCTTTCTGTTTCTCCTTTAATGTCTCCAAAACTTCAGCCATTAGTCATCATCATCATCATCACCTAAGGTATCTTCTTTTTGCTGCTGATCAACATCTTCCATGTCATTAAATCACCTAACAAATGCAACTGACTTCAATCTGACATTGATTCTGCACAAAGTTCATGAAACTCAATATTAGTAAAACAATAATTATTTCTTTCTCAATAAAAACCACTACTTTAATCTAAGATTAAAAACTCTCTCAATCATTTCTACCTCTTACTGACTCTATTATAGACCTAGGAGTATTTAATGATTCTAAACTTAGATTCCACAGTCAAAGACTACATATTTTCTTGGTGTATAATGTTGTTATAGATCTTTCTCACATTTTAACCTTTCCATTCTCTTTTCTTGACTGTCTTTATAAGTTACATTTTACCTTACATGAAAGCTTGAATACGCCACTGTTGTTAAGATTTCTGTTATGACTACTGATGCAAGCAAACTGGAATGTATCCAGCAGACGTTTGCAGCCCCTTGCTATAATTGATTCCTCCCTCATCTGTGTTGCAGCTATGCTAACACTTTACAGTATTCAAAACATAAGAGGACTGAAGATTTCCGTCTTCTGGGTTGTTGCGCTGTGTTGTCTGGTCGATGTTAACCAATGTTTCAGAGGTCATACTGCCTCCGTCATCAG